ACGTGCCCACAACGAGTTCTGATCGTGGGAGAAAAATACTCACAGGATTCTATTTCTTGTTGAGAAAAGCGCGGTGGTTGCAAACATGATAGTGTGTCTAGAAGCAAGTAATCAGACCTAGCAAAGGATTAGATTCGTGTCTTCATCACTACACAGGAATTCGGAGCAAACCAAATTTCTGTTTATTGCTGCATTATCCCTGTTATCATCAAGTTCTGACTTCTCAATGTTAAGGTTTTAGTGACATGTTCTAAGACAAGGAGTGTCAATCAATCGGATTGCATCAAGCGTCCATTGTGAGCTATTCTGATAACTGTTGTTACATTACTTGAAAGGCCAAACGGCAGTGCTAGTGTTCTTCAAGAATGCTGAGATGCTTATCCAAGGATTTCTGTCAAGTTAATTGTGGTGATCTTGAGTTATCAAATAATGATGTCAGGCTTGGTAGTAACTTATAGGTGTTGGTTTCGGTGCATTCACTTCAACACTTCCTCTTGCACTGGAACTCATTTGTAGCATACTAAGAAATGAGCAAAATTGTAATGGATCAATGGCAACATTGAAGAGACGAATATTATAAGAAACAATTCATTATAACCTTTCTAAATTTGTTGTGCATATTGATGGCGACGTTTTAACTTTTTTGTAATAAAATTTTCTTTGTTAGGTTTGTGGTTGATTGAGGTGGCATTGCATAGACTCTGTGCAAGTTGTTTATTTGTTGCGAATTTGATGGAGAGTTTGTTTTGATCTTTGTTGAAAAGTAGAGTTTTGAGAGAAACCCTCTTAGAATCAATATATTTTCAAGTAACATCTGATGTGGATAGGATTGTTTCTACAAGAACAAGGTTTGGAAAATTTTATGGAGTCCAAATAGGAATTTAATCAAAAACATATAGATTGTGGATTGAGTACAAAGCACACATAAATAAGTTTAAAGAGACTAAATTTAAAAGCTTTATAGATTGAGAGTTTGCAAAGAGATATTTGAAAAGATAGAAGTAGGTTGGAATTTTTATTCTATAAGGAGTTAGGTAAAAGAAGTATGCCTATTGCTTCATCCATACAATAATATGTGAAGGTTTCTATTGGTTTGGTCAAAACATCAATTTACCACTTAAATGTGGGTACATAATTAAATATTATATTTCTTGCTAAACTTCTTTTTTTAATAAAGTAGTATTGTATTTTTATGTATTTAGTAGAAGAATGTAATACCAAATTATTTAAAAATTTGATACAACTTTAATTATCACTAAAGATAGGAGATAGATTAGTAGTGCAAATTTATAGCTCTTATGGCATTTGCCTTAAGTATATGATATCTTTTGCACTTTTTGAAAGCACCCAATATTCAACTTTGGTAGTACTTAGTGCAACAATTGGCTATTTCTTACTTGACATCAAGTCTTGAGATTATGGAAGCATATAGAAGTCTTCTAACCAATAATTGATAAGTGAATTTATCAACATGTCAACTTAAAGATAAATGCTAGAGTATATGAGAGTTTGTATTGGATTGTAGTTTAATATATCAAATTTATACAACATTTTTTTGAAATAGTTTTTTTTGGTGTAACCATATACTAGATGAATCTCTCTTTAATTTTGTTCTAAGGTAAATACTACCTTCTCCAAGTTTAGTCATCTTGAATGTTTTAATAATTATAAAGTCAATTTCTTCAATTTTGTTATATTATTACTTATGATAATTAAATCATCTATATAGAGAATTATAATTTTGTTTTGTCCATTTTTGATAGAATAATACAAATTATAGTTTGCAAGCTCTTAGCCAGTCTTTGTTTTATAAGATAAAAGTCTATTCTTCAATACTATGTATATAGTGCTTATTTGAGTCCATATAGAGCTTAAATCAATCTATATACTTTTCTTTTTAAGTACTAATCTTTAAAAACTAGATGGAATTTGCATATACACCTCTTCATCTAGTATTACATTTATAAATATAATCTTTATATATAATTGTTATAGACTCAATTTTTTTTGAATTACAAGTACTAGAATTAACCTAATAGTATTTCATTTGACAATTAGAGCATATGTATCAAAATAGCTAATGCCTTGAATTTGTTCAAATTTATTTATAATTAATCTTGCCTTTAGTTTGTTTAATTTGCCATTACTTTCTTTCTTGACTTTGAATATCCATTTTAAAGAGATAGCTTGTTGTTGTTGTTGTTGTTTTTTTTTTTTTTTTTTTTTTTTTTGATAAATCTTCAATCTTCTAAGGCTTATTTTTTAAAATTGAATCAACTTCATCTTGTATAGCTTTTTCCCACCCTTTGTATCTAATGGCTTATTCACAATATTGAAGTTGAGATGTATATTCTATTGCATATGTTAAATGATATTTAAATCTAATACTCGATCTTTTATTTTTTGTAGAGTATCTACAATTTGTAGGTGCTTGCTCACATTCCATATTAATTACTCTTTCTGTTTCAATGTCTATGGATGAAGATAATTGTATTGGCTCTATTGTACTATCAAATGACAATACTTCAAGTTGTATGAATATGTGGTTATTTGGAATATTCATGGTTTATTTTTATTGATTTTTTTATTAGAAATATTATATCTTTTTATTCTACTCTAATAGTTACAAGATATTGAATACCTATCTTTGTTTCATCATATACTATATCTCTAGATATCACAATCCTGCAAGTTGATGGATCAAATATTCTATATACTTTTGTTTACTCATCAAAATCCATATGTATCTATTTCTTTATCTTGTTTTTTAACTTGCCACTTTGTGCCTTTATTACATAAGTAATACCAATGCATTCAAATATATTCAAAAAACTCTCATTAGATTAGAGGTTGTAATATCTCTGAAGTAGTGTAATTCCTTAGTTTGCAACCATGGAACTTCTCTCGGCTAAGAAATTTGCTATGTTAATTATCTTATAGCACAATTATAATACCACAATGTCTTAATATATAAGACTCTAAAAACTTCTTGTTTCTCATAACATGATGGATTGTTCTAGAATCAAGGTACTATGGATGATTTTTCTCTAGCCTTCATATAATCTCAATGAGTACAATGTCTATATCTTTGATAGTGTCTAATATATTTTTATAAGCTTGATCTTCATTTGTTACTATATTGACATTATTATATTCTTTTTGTATCAGAAGCTTGTTGCAGAAAAGGCAAGTAAGGTCATAAAGTGATTCACACAAAAAATATTAGAATCTTGTAGTAATATATTGATCTTTTGTGGTGGTCCTTGCTAAAATCCTTGACTAATAAAGCAAGACTGTTTACATGTTGCTTGAGTGCAATAGTCACATGAGTTTGTGATCTCCATACCAATTGCCTAGTGCTCTTCTACAAGTGTAGTTGTGGTTGTAAAAAAAAAAGAGTTGTATTTCTTAAATTGTGTTGCTAGTGTCTCTTTTTTTTTTTTTTTCCATTTTATTCTTGCGCAACTCAAGATATTATTATTCATTTAGTAATTTTGAGCTAATAGATGCAAATTTTGATAATTTATTTAAAATTATTAGGTTCTAAATTATTCCTTCATAATTTGGAAGAAGTCCATTTATTGTGATTTGAATTAGTATTTTATTTGCCACTTTATATCTCATTGCACATAAATTTTTCTTCAAATTTCAAATAATTTTAAAGTATTCTACAATTGAACTACCTTTTGCTGTTTAATATTGTAAAACCAAGTGGATAGTAAGAAAATTTGTAACAAATCACCAACTTCAAAGATGTTCTTCAAGGTTTACTAAGTATCTAAATGATTATTACTTTTTAAAATAGTTTCTTTGAACTTGTCATTTGCTGCCATTACAATCAATGCATGGACTTTGAGCTTGTGAATCTTGAATTGTTCATATGTAAATGTTGATATTCCTACCATGGTTGGATATGATATAGGCACCATCTTCTTTTCTATTAGATCTCACATGTTCTCCCTCTTTAGTTATGCCTTCATCTTGAACTTCTATTTGTTGTAGTTTATTGATTCTTCCAACTTGTTGCTCTTATTAAATGTAACTATAAATGATTGTTCTCTTTTCCATAGTGAATTGTAAAATGACAACAATTGAACTAATTCATATGAGATAAATTATGAGAATTTGGAAGCAATGCTTTACTAGTGAAGCTCATTCCTAAAAGAATATTCTAAAGAAACAAAACTACTCTATAAACAATACTTATTAGCAAATTTGTAGAGATTTAACTTTGCTCTAATATTTGTTGAAATCAACATGACTTATTTATTGAAAAATACATCATCACAAGATATATCAAAGATGATTATCAATAATATTCTAAGCTATTCTGATAACTACTACTACAGTATTTGAAAGGTCAAACATCACTACTAATGTTCTTCAAGAATGCCGACATGCTTATCCATAGATTATGGTCAAATTGGTAGAGAAAATCTTTAGTTATGAGATGATGACATCAAGCTTAATAATAACTTATAGATGCTTATTCTAGTGTATTCATTTCAACACAAACTAGTTACGAAGCCTTGGAACTCTACATGCTAAAATACCAACAATATTACAATATAAGTGTAGCAACAATAATAATATAACAACAAAACACCACTTGCAATAGTTGTGGCTAGTGAATTTGGCTAGTGCTATGAGCATGATTTGTTTGATTAGCTAATCCTTTGTTATGTCTTCTGAGTTGTGCAAGAAAATTGACAAGGTGGTAGGTGAAAATTGACAATGTGTGTATGTGTATGTGGAGAAGAATTCAATGCTCCAACCCATGCTTAAGGATTCTATTGTAGTGCAAATTGAGGTGAATGAGCACTCTTAAGAAGATGAACACATCATTGCTGTGCTTTTGTTTCAAGACTGCAAGTAGTATTTATGTAATTTCTGTATGTTATGCTGGGTCTACCCGCAACTTGCACAACGGCACGCTTCGCCTTCCTCCCGCCACATGGCCTTCTTGCAAGGTCGCCGCCTTCTCAAGTCTGATCGAACTCATGGCAACTGCACACCTTCTGCAGACCTTCTCGTGCAACAATTCCCTCCTATCTCTGTCTCTCTCTCTCTCTTGCCAATTCTCTAGCCGCTGTGGGGGTTTCTGGGGACCTAAATTGTTATCGAATTGCTACCGAATTGTTTCCGGATTGGTGCTGAAGTTGGAAATTCTTTCGTACCCACAACGATCCAAATCGGTGATGTCCATGGTGGCAATTTCGAGGGATAGATGTGTTTTTTTGCTTTGGATTTGTGTCAATGTGGTAATGCAGCGAGGTTGGTAACGTGGTAGGTGAATCTTTCTGTCGGGTCTGCGACATTTCTCGAGGCTTAAGCAGGACATTACGTCGTTTTGATTTTGCATTCTACACGCAGAAGATTCCGTACGAAATGCAGAATTTTGAGTCTTTCTTTGGGAACATTGGTCTACGGGATTGTTGAGTTGCTTTAGACACTGGTGTGTGAATTGTTTATTTGGTAAACCGCCAATTTTTCTTCCACATTTCTCTTGTAGCTTTCTTGTGATCTTCAGTCCTCACACTTGATGTGTAAAAACAGAATTAGTAAATTCAAAGTTAAGGAATCTATGGCGCATTTGGAGCAGTCTACATGTGGCTTGTTGCAAGCGGGTCCGACATGGCTATCACCATTGCTCGAGACAGAGTTTTTCGGGTACTGCAAGAAGCACACCACTGGATAGCACGATAAGAACCAATTTTGTCTCTCCTGCTGCACGGGGCCACACTGCATTCAGGGGCTAAGCGAGTCGCATTCTGGTCATGCATCGGTTCAAGTGCGGAAAGCTTCCCACCGAGATGTGGTTCGCGTTGCCGACATCAAGAAGTATCTCGACATATCCAACATTCAACTGTACCCTATCAACGGCGCCAAGATTGTCTTTCTGCAGAGCCGGCCCCAGACGAAATCATGCAAAGGAGCACCCAAGTACTGCGATACTTGCCATCGCAGTCTCGCAGACCAGGTTAGATTCTGCTCCATCAACTGCAAACGCGTTGCAGTGTGCGACGCATCTGTGCGAGATCTCGAGTTGACTCTGTCTCACTCCATTGACTCAGTTAGTGATGGAACTGACTCGATGAATCTAGAGGCGACGAATTTCTCTCCTTCAACGCCGAATAGACATGGCAACCACACGGAGTTGAACAATCTTAGTTTAAAGATGCCTCCTTTCAAGAGACAGAAAATTTCGGAGGACAGATCTCACTCTCTCTCACCTATGTCTGTTCTCGGCGCTGGAGTTGCTTTTCGATTCGATTGCTTGAGGTTCACGGCCCCTCCACGCCCGAGCGACACAGTGAATCTAGTCCAAGAGTGCACTGCCGGAAGCAGTTCCACCCGATGCGGGCGCCATTCTTTTGAGCTCTTCAACGACATACCGCTAAAAGCCGAACACTGTGAGAATGCTTCTCTCATTGTACATTATTTTAGACAGTGGATATACGTGCATGCGTTGCAGCTTCAGTCCAAATGAAACAGTGGTACATCCTAGCGATCGAGTTCGCAACCTTGAGATATCTCGGAACATTACAGACACACCCAAGGTGAGTTCGGCACTCATTGCATAAGTTTCTAATGACTTTCAAAACCGTGGTAGGATGCCGTATTAAGACATTTTAGTTGTGCAACTTCTTCGGCAAAATGCTCTTTTCTGAGGTTCTGCACATTGCTTACCCAGGTTTTATTGTGTTGTGCAGAGAATTGCTACGATAACTGCATAGTGGAGGACTGCAACCACGCTATGTCCTTGAATACATAATCTGCTAACTGGCTGGTATTGAACATACTTTGTACAAAACACTACTCCGATGCTAACGACGATTAGTCTCGATGTGCGAAACACCTGCGGGCATTCAAAGTCCCTGTAAATACACGCTTCTTGACTGGTTTGTACATATGCAGAACATGAATGTGAAGGCGAAGCTTTGAAGTTTTTTTTTCACTCCCTAGATTTGTCAGGGCTTGCACCACGTTACAGATGTCCTTGAGAATCCCTCCAACAGCACAAATAGTCGTATATTGCTGTTTTGTGACTTCCACTGATGGTAAATGACCAAGTCCCTCCACCCTCCCTCCACACTGCCTTCGGAGCCTTTGGTGGAAGTAACTTCTTACCCCTGCACCACTTTGGACGGAGTTTTCATTGTTGAAGACACACCTGTTCCATACTCCAGGGTTTTTGAATTCACTGTTCAAGCATTCACATTTCAGATAGTTCCCTTTGTCGCCCATATCGTTTGTCCATTAGACAGACTGAAATCACTCATCCTTCAGATTTCAATGGCGTTACAGCATCCCAGGCAGTTGTAAAGTTTGCCTCATTACTCCAAGTGTTAATTGTGATGTCTGAAAGTATCATAACAATTTGGGATGCAGTCAACAAGTGGAGAGATGATGGTAAGGACACATTGTTTTGTTTCAATAGTTAAAGACTCAAATATTAAAATAAAACAAATCAAAGATGGGAAACACAAGAGATGTTATGGAAACAGAAAGGACCTCTGAGGATCATACTGTATATTAGGGGAAGAGAAGGATTTTAGGCATTGAAGTATCCCCTCTCAAGATTCACCATAGTTTTTATTCAACAGCCTTTGTCATGCAGTCTGCCGTCACTGCAATCATATGCCAACTTACTTACCAGTGAATCACAATTTCACCTTCCATCCTATTCCATGACCTTCAGTAATAAACCTGATTGATCCTTCTTCAGTTGACTATTGTCATGGGTTTTATGATAATTTGCTCTTTAATAAAATAAGCTTTTTCTCTTTTCTACAAGTGTGTGTGTATATATGACTATTATTATTAAAATTATATTTGAAGAAAGAAGACATGCTAATATTTTTTGGTATTGTTTGATTTTCATGAAATGGTAATCAAACAATATTTGACTACTGTTCTTGTTTTTATGCATCCAATTTCTATGGGTTTTGAAACATGTTTGAGTTGTTGGTGCATAAATCTGAGATATTTTTTTTAAGTATATTTAATCTAATATTTCAGTTATTTTAGAAAATGAAACCATAAGAAAAGAGATTTTGATTGTTAAGATTGATTGATAAAAACAATAAGCAATATCAAATAAAAAACAACAAGAACAAAATCTAAAAACCATAGTGCATTCTTTTTCTTTATTTTTTGATACAAAATGGGATTTATCCAATGCATTGATAAAGTCAAAGAAATAACAAACAATTTAATTCATAACACTTCAAAAGATAAGGTTAAGTCTAACATACAAAATAGTTGTTAATACTACACAATTTAATATACTTTTATGTATTATCAAATCATTTTATGGTACTCTAGAACTCTATTTAGTTACCTCTTGTACTTTACAACCTACTAATTGTCATGTCATTTAGAATTTGTCTCATGATGAAAGTAGTCTCATGTTTTTGATGTTTTTTTAGTTTTTTTCTTCATGGATTTTTAACCAATCTGCCCCTATTTAATTAGACTTTGACACATTATGGTCCTACTATGGAGGTCACTTCATTTATATTTTTTGAAAAAGAATTGTTTTTTAAATGTAGATGGTTCATATCAAAATATTCTTATTAGAAACCAAATCCTGTAAAAAAAATTAAGTTAAAAGATGATACTATTTGTAAATATGACTTACTTCAATGTTAATATTTTCCAAGTTTTTATTTCTAAGGGTTGGTATTTAATTTATATAAGAGATAGGTAGACCAATCCCAAATTTTTACAAGCTTGATAACAATCCTACAATCTATAGAAGATGGTTTTTAGTTTTAGAAGCAACATAAAATACAATGGATGTCAATATGAAGATTAATAAATCCTTTCTACAAATCAACTGCTACTCTTTTGTATCAAATTAGTTAAATAAATATTGCTTCTTTGTGAGTGCAAGGTTGGAACCAAATATTTTTTCATTTCATAGAAAAATTATAGTCTAATAAGTTATTGAATTTCTCTATCAAGACATTCAAAGAAATATTGTTTATTTATAGATGCTTTTTTTAAAGTATAGCATAGTAAGTAAATAATTCTTTTGTTGTTGTCTAAGAGTATGAATTATAATAAAAATTAAGTTTACATATTGATTCATAATATGAATTAATATTTTTTTGTCTCCATTCTTGTTGTGCTTGTTTTTAGAGCCACTCTAATAATTTTTAAAAAGTCGGCCACTTAGTTCTTCTTATCTTATGAAGATTGGTTTTTTAGATCCAATAAGAGTTTATTTGATTTTTTTTTTGTTTTTTTATGGATTGAATAAAAACTGATTATTTATCTTCTTCAATCCTTACATTTTGTATAGGTAATTAGAATATCATTAATAATAATTGGTCTTTTTTAAGATATACAAACAAATCCAATTTTATGATTTACAAAGAATTGTGCTTTGTTGACAATGTCATGAACATATATATTTACCTAAATAAGAAGTACTAGGTAGAAAATAAATGTAGGTAGATATGATATTATCTTGTGGCTAAGCTTCTTAGAAGCTTTATAGATGCATATTTGACTTTATATATGTTTATAGTTGATTGAAAGATTAGAAATTTAGCAAAAAAATTAGTCATGCATTGTACATGTGTATATCTTATGGTACAAGCTAATAATATGGCTTACATATAAAATAATTTCTTTTCAAGTTAAGATATATGTCTTGCAAATTGAATACATATTAGAAATCTTGTAAGACATTGTCATGTAGCTGCTAGCTGAATAGTATATATAAAAATAAGAGTGAAGCCTTCTTTATTCTTGTCAATACCTTTCTAATCCCTATTCTTGATTTAAGACTTTTTAGTCTTTTATTTTTGGAAATAGTCATTCTAATTCAATGTATTACTAACTTTGAATGATTTTCTAATCTTTTTGAATAACATAAGAAAGTATTGAGATTTTCTTTCTTTGAGATTTATATCTTTGATAGTTTAATAAGAGTGATAATTTGTTGATATTATTTTATATTAAAAGTGAGTTGATTATTTTACTTTTATTATTATATTTAGAAGTTTATAAACTATTTACCTTCAAACTCACTTTTAGTTTTCTAATACTGATTATTTTTCTTATAAAGAGTAGACTGCCTTTCTTTGTAGAAACTTTCATTTGATATTAGAGATTATAAAATATCTTCTTCTAATTTGACTTTTAGATTTGTTTAAATTATCTACAGAAGGAAAAATTATGGAAGCTATTCTTGGCCAAAGTGAAAATAAATTTGCAAATATTATAAATCTTCACAAGCTTGTAAATATTCTAAGGGTAGAAATCTCATATATCTCTAACATCAATAATAGAGGTAGTATTCCAATGCCTATAAAAGATATCAACAATGAAGTTCAAAGTCTACATTAAAAATTTGTGTAATTAAGAAAAGCAAGTAGATTAAGCTTACAACTAAATCTTAACAATCTTGCTACTCCAACTATAAAATAGGCAATAATAAATATGCCCTAGAAATTCAATAGAATAAGATCAAAATTTTGAAGATTTGTACAAAAAATAAAGCTCTATTTAAGATTGCATCTTTTTCAAAACCCTGATGGATTTACTCAAGAGTACTTCTTTTTGAAAGTACTGTTTTTTATTTTACATCTTTAATGGAAAAATATTCACATCTTTTTTATAATTTAAATTTATTTTTAAAAGTATTTATAGTCATTTTAAGAGAAAGTAATCAAAAAAAAAAAATAGAGACCAAGTTTATAACTTTATGACAAAGATCATATTTAGCCACTACATATTGTAAAATTTCAAAATTTTACTTGTGATATAGATTGGAATGATAAAGCCCTTATCAATCAATTTTGGTATGGATTAAAAAATAATATCAAAGATTTACTATTGATGATGTCAAGAATAGGCTTATTAGAGTAATTTATTACTCAAGTCATTACATACAATAATTGACTCTTTGAAAGATGTTAAGAATAAAGTTTTGATTCAAGATGTACAAATCAAGCTATCATAACAACTTCTAAGTTTACAAAAGCTTATTCATTAAGACCAAAACTTATGCAAATTGACACAATATGTTTTAAGCCTCTTTTTGAATTAAAAAAAAAACTTCGTACTATCAAGAAGATTCAAGCTTATATTATAGAAAATCTAAGCACATTGTTCAATATTATTAAAAGAAGCAATATAATCACAAAATATAGAGCATAATTACCATAGAAGATAATAAGTCAAAAAACGGATTTTTTTAGCTACCATAGAGATTGTGCGACTAGAATCTTACATAATATCTAGTAAAGGTCTTATTTTCTCCTCAGATCTTTCACATTATTTTACAATAGAAATTTTTTTGGGACAAAAAAATTACTAAGTATTTGCCTTGCTAGATTTAAGAGCCTCAACTTGTTTTATACATGAAGTCTTTGTTAAAAAAACAAGAAATATCTTTAGTCAATAAAAATAAATCTATGCATATAAAAGTCATAGATGGTTATTTGTTATCCTCTAGAGACATTACCTATAAAATAGTTCCTTTAGATGTAGCAAGTAAAGATCATACAAATTTAATAATATTCAATATAATTAGATTTTTATCTAAATCCATTATTTTAAGATTATTGTAGCTAAAAAAGTATAATTTTCAAATAGAATTGACTTCTTGTAACCTTGATTTTTATTGTAGTTTAGTATAAGATATTCATAATTAAGTAATATAAGTAAACCATTGTTGGTAGATACAAGAGCTTTTATATGTATAAAAAAATGATCAACTTTTGATATATATGCCACAACTATTATTAATAGAAAAAAGTCTTTAAGTAGAATTTTAAGCTACTATTAAGATTATCAAGACATTTTTGACAAGAAGAATGCTAATATTCTTTCAAAGCATCATCTTTATGACTATTCAATTGATCTTCAAGATAGAGCTCAAATACCATTTGAATTAATCTATAATTTATTATAAAATAAGTTTTTTATATTCAAAGATTTAATGAAAATTTGGATAAAAACTTCATACGTCATTCTAAATCTTCAATATAAACTTCTATCTTATTTATAAAGAAAAACCATGGATCTTTGCAAATGTATGTGGATTAAAAAGGATTCAACAAGATTACCATCACAAATAAGTATCTTCTACCTTTGATTTCAAGATTTTCTTATCAACTCAATTAAGCAAAGATATATACAAAAATAGATCTATAACGAAAAAAAACCTAATATGCATTAAAAAAAAATGATGAATGGAAGATTGTGTTTTAAACTAGATATGGACATTTCAAATATAATGTCATGCCTTTTGGACTCATGAATGCACCAAGTACTTTTTAACATCTAATAAATAATGTCTTTCATGAGTTTTTTTTATGACTTTATTGCATATTATTTAAAAAATATTTTAATCTATTCTAAGAACATAAAAGAGCATAAAATTCATGTTTTTTATATGCTATAAAAACTTAAAGATGTATAATTATATGTCATATATATACAAAAACCTTGAGTATTTTATGTCAATACATATTTTGAATCATTACTAAATCTATTGGAGCATGTCTTTATTAAGATTTGATTTCAAGATCACTTATCAACTCTAAAAACAACAAGGTTTGTTAGACATCCTTTCTAAACATTTTTATCTTGCATTCAAAGAAAGAAATGTAGTTTTTATTCAACAAAGAATAATTTTCTTGAAACCAAAGTATTTTTATTTTTGAATAATGAAATCAACATTAATTATTGATTCAACCTTTTTCTAGTAAGTTCAATCAAGTATGTCCTTTGATCCTCTTATTTATGATATTAAGAATAATTCTTCTAAGTTTTATGAGACTTTTAGGTTTGAGTTTAAGAATAATCTACTCCATTTTGAGAGACAATTATATATTTTAAAAGGCAAAATATGATTATGTATTCTTCAAGGTCACCATAACTTTCCAACAACTAGACATTTTAGATATAACAAGACTTTGGAGCCAATATCAAGAAATTTTTAGTAGCTTCAAATGTAAAAGATAGTCAAGGACTTTGTACAATCATGTAACATTTGTTGAAGATCAAAAATTCCTCTTCATCGATCTTATGGACTTCTTCAACCATTACATATTTTAAAACAATTTTATGGTCTTTTTTTTCTATGGATTTTATCATAGAACTTTAAGTCTTAGGATCATATGATTCTATATTTGTAATAGTAGATCGTTTCACCAAGATGTTATATTTTGTACCATGTAAAAAAATTATCACTAATAAAGAAACAATTAAGTTTTTTTTTAACAACATCTACTACTATCATGAATTGTCAAAGGATATTATATTAGATAAAGGAACTAAATTTGTATCAAGATTTTAAAAAATATTTTTTAAGATTCTAAAGATGGATATAAATCTATCTTTGGCCTTTTATCCTCAAATTAATTGATAGAAAGAGGATGTAAACTAAATTTTGAAATATTATTTGAAGTATACTATCAATTATTAATAAGATGATTAGATAATTTTTTACTATTGACATAATTTACTTATAATAACATGGTATATTTTTCTATCTAATAAATATCTTTCTTTGCTAATAATAATTATCATCCATAACTTGATGGTTTTATCTTTGTAAAAGTTAATAAACTTTTATCAAAAGATTTAGTGAATCATTTATTTAAGCTACATACAATAGTAAAGATACAACCAAAAGAAACTCAAGAATGATAAAAGACGAATGCAAATACCTATTATAAGAAGTAATCTTAATTCTACATTAGTGACAAGGTATAGTTATTTTGTTGCAATATTAAGACTAGCTGTACTTGTTACAAGTTAGATTACCATAGGCTTGCACCATTTTATATTTGTGAAAAAATCAATATAGTTGCTTATCAATTATTTCTATAAATTCTATGAAGATCCATTTTTATATTCAACGTGTCTCTTTTTGAGCCATATAAGACAATAAATATCTTAAGAAGAAGAAAAATACCACCTCTTTTTATAAAAATGGATAATAATTAAGAATTTAAATTAGAAGGAGTCTTAGACTTAAGATGGAACTGAAATAGATTAGAATAATTGTGCATCAAAGTTGATATGATATTAGTGAATGCATATTAGAACTAGCGCAAAATCTTACAAAAGCAACAAAAGAGGTTGATGCTTTTCATTAGCAACATCGATCAAAATTAAGATGAAGAATATGATAACTTTGCTATATAAAAACTGTAGTTCAAGAAATATTACATTTTATCTTTTATCTTTTTTTGTAGTTTATGTGTGGTGCTAAAGAGATGGAGAACCAATAACCAGTAGATTCAATTCACAAGCTATTATTTATTGACTTACCAGATAAGACATTATAATTATTACAAATTTTAAGACAACGTAATGAAGATGAAGATTCTCAAGAATGACAATTTCTTCCTCAAATAGATGGTGAGATATAACACATTTGATATTACAATTTTACAAGAAATTTTTCAAATTTGATGATTTAAATGGAATTAACAAAGATTTTTGACGATTTTACAAATATTTTATTTCAAAAAAGTTATAAAGGCCACAAAAATGACCAAATAATAAGATAGTCTTTTTTTCCTAAAATAAGATATTATCATAGGTTGAGAGGACTAATCTATCAGCTTTAAAAAAAATAAAGATCAAAGTATGAGACAAATATAATTCACCATATCTTAGACTTCCTTAATATATAATGACTACTCTTTGTAGAACTTAGATCTAGAAAATAAGATAATATCATATATATATATATATATATATATATAAGAAGTAATAGGTAAAAAATAAATGTATGTAGATATGATATTATCTTATTCCAAAGCTTTTTAAAAGCTTTATTTATGCATATTTGATTTTATACTTGTTTATAGTTGATTGATAGGTTAAAAACTTGGTCAACAAATTAGTCATGTGTTGTATGTGTGCATAGCTTGACAATACAAGCTAACAATGTGGGTTGCGTATATAAAACTTTCCTTACAAGTTAAAACATGTATTTTGCAAATTGGACACATATTAGAAGTCCTATAGGACATTTCTTTATAGATCTTAGTTGGATAGTATATTTAGAAGGAAGAGTGAAGCCTTCTTCATTCTTGTCAATGCCTTTTTAATCTTTAGTCTTATTTTTAGACTTTCTAATCTTTTTATCTTTGGTAATAGCCATTCTAATTCAATATATTACTATCTTTGAGTGATTTTCTAGTCTTTTTGAATAATATAAGAATGTATTGAGATTTTCTTTCTTTGAGATTCATGTTTATAATAGATCAGGGAATTTGTAGGTTTTTAGAAGTTAATAGTGTAAAAAACTCCAAATGTTCCTAAAATTATTAGAAATTTGATTTTGGATCCAATTTTATATGAAATGAAGGATTGAAACAAATCTTCAAAGAAGTTTTTTTTTTTTTTATTCTTCAAAAACTATTTGAATATAGATTTGCAAATTGATGAACATTAAGGTAGAAATCAATAAGAAAGAAATTATTATTCATTGATCAAAATCTTTTCCAAATCATATAATTTTTTTTTAGAGAATTTTATTATTTATAAAACAAATATAAGACTAGACTTTATCAATCTTATGCCATGTTTGTAAACCATTGCTCTACTTGTGCTCACACATTAAATTTTGGGAGCCATTACTTGATCATAGTTGGCTTAATATGCATCGTTTTAAATATTAGAGTGTCCAAGTTCTAAGACTTTTATAATCCATTCGATCAAGAGAGGTTTGGTGGCCTATTTTTAATCAATTATACTTTGCCTTCTATTTGGATCAAGTTAATGAAGATGTATTTTTTAATAAGAGATTTTTAAATGATGATTTTATTTTTCAATATGCCTTATATGATCCAATTCAAATAGTTCAAAAGAAGTAAAGAGATGATAGTAAAATTATGTTTATAATAATATCTTAATTAACCACATTAATTTGGATAGAATACCAACATTCAAACTTGCAAGAGATTCTATTCATTAAAAATTGGACAACATATTAAATTTAGAGAGGAGAGACTAAATTGGATACTTATAACCTAGTACATTCACATGTGTACATAATAATGTATGTTAAGTTGTATAAATAATAATAAAATTTAAATTACAAGATTACCAAAGAATTTATTCAAAAAATAGAAACAATAGTAATAAAAAAGAGAGATACAATGTTTTGAACTTGTTATATTATATTAAAAATTGATAATATTTTAAAAGAATATTAAAATACAATCAATTGAGGTAGTAACAAATATTATTCTACATAGACTTAAGTTACAATTTATATTTATTTACACATCTAATTATATTTTTTGAATTCAAATCATTTATTTTCTTACCATGATATTCAAGACTGATTTCATAAACATTAATAATATCAAATACAATGCACTAATTATTCCAAATTTATTTTCCTAGAAAAAGAAAAAAGAAAAAAGATTATAATCTAGAAGAAGTACACAACATATGAGGGCAAATTGTAACATTATTGTTTGATTCAAATATTAACCAATAATATCAATACCATTTAATTATGTAATAAATAAAATAACTACAAATCATATATTTAGAGATACAAATATTAATTAAACTATAATATTTAAAAATATATTATCAACATCAACAAAATAATATCATGCAAATTTTCACACAATGTGATTAATATTATTATTATTCATATTCAACTCAACATGAATGCTTGACTCTAGAGAATATAACCTAAATGAATGCAGATTCAAACATACAAGAATTCTATTTTTACACACCCAAATCAATAATCTAAAAAATTTAATGTAAAAAAATTAAAATTATATGACCTCAACTAAAAATCTGTCATCTTTGAAAAGATGAGAATTGTATTGCATTACTTTGTTGTACACAAATATTGCATACTCGAGAAACATTCCTCCACAGTTTTGAAACTCACAACAAAGGGAAACACTCGCAGTCCTTGGTTGTGGTTTTGGAACGAAAGTAGGGGAACAAAGGGAACGGCGCAGGAGAGGGAGGGGAGCGATTAGGGCTGAAGTGGAATGCGAATGAGGCGCCGGGTAGGGTTAAGTGGAGCCAGACCACTCTGTTCTGATTCTCTTTGCACAGCGTGACACCGCGCACCGCCATCTCTGCTGCTGCTGTCGCTGCCTCCCTCTCCCTCTCTCCCCTCTCGCGACGCTGAGCCCCAGCCAGCAGCAGCAGCATCATGGCTGACAAGGCGTGCACTGTGCGCACTCGCAAGTTCATGACCAACAGGCTGCTCGCCAGGAAGCAGTTCGTAAGCACCCGTGGCCTCCTTTCTCGCTTAGGGTTTCTGGAACATTGGCTTGTGTAACACCTCATTAGAGTTTTCGCTTGGTTGTGGTTGTGACTTCTCATCTTCGTGAGGTATTGTAGATCGAGGTGCAGTTCGTAGTGCTGGAGGTCTTCGCTTAACCTGGCTTGTTGGGTATTTATGGGTTTTTTTTGTGTTGTTTCTGATTTTGCGTGCAGATCATTGATGTGCTACACCCCGGTCGTGCTAATGTCTCCAAGGTGAGTTTATGATCTGAGGAATGGGATACCGTGTTTTTTTATTATGTTTTGTTTTTGGCGTTTTCTTTTTCTTTTTCTGGTTATTTTATTTTTTAGGTCAAGAGTATAGTGGACACGAGTTGAGATTGCTTTGTGTGTTCAGGCTGAGCTGAAAGAGAAGCTTGCTAAGGTGTATGAGGTTCGGGATCCTCAGACCATCTTCGTGTTCGGATTCAGGACCCAATTTGGAGGTGGCAAGTCCACTGGATTTGGCCTCATCTATGACTCTGTCGACTCTGCCAAAAAATACGAGCCTAAGTACAGGCTTATTAGGGTATGTGTTTCCACCCCTTACTGATGCCCTTGTTGTTACGTCCCTCATATTTCATAATACAGTACTAATGGTCGCAATTCTGAGCATTCCATGACTTCATGCATTTGCGAATTGTAGAATGGACTGGCGACCAAGGTTGAGAAGTCCAGGAAGCAAATTAAGGAGCGCAAGAACCGTTCCAAGAAGATCAGGGGTGTGAAGAAGGTATGCGTAATCGCTGATTGAATTTGGCAGAGTAACTATCTCTTAGAATCCAGCATATATGTCTTTTAGATTTCATTAAATGCACAAATTTAATGTTTTCTGACGTTATTACACGTGATTCCTTCTCTGCAGACTAAGGCCGCTGGTGACGCTAAGAAGAAAAAGTAGATGTGACATAGTTTCCTTCGCATGATGTAACCATGGACTCTACTCCTGCTAGGTTTTGAGATGACAGACAAGATTATATGAAATTTTTTCCGTCTATTGGATAAATCCTTCGTGTAGGGGCTTTTGTTCGAACTGCTGCGGGTGTTACTGTTCGTCATGAGTACTTATGCTTAGCGGATCTCTTTCGAAATTGCTCTTTGCTCTCGACCTGAATTGGAGTCCCAGACGTCGAACAGGAAGTCTTGCATTTGTTAGTAGGTACTTCTCATCCTACTATGTAACTCACGGTTGTCGCTTCCGTAATCTGCTGCTTGCATGTTGCTGATAACTTAGTTTTACAGAGTACTGTGAGCGTCGCCTTAACAGGACAACCGTGGATAGATCTTTCACAGATTCTGTTAAAAAATGCACACGTGGTCAGTGGGAGATCATGTACTCTCTTCTCGTGTACCAACTTGTGTGATATTTATTATCATCCGTAATGTACGGACGAGTTGTTCCATGAGGGTTTAGTACAATCTCTGGTACTGTCGTGTGTATTAATTAGATGATTCATCGTTCATGACTTGTGAGCTCAGTAGTTAATCAGCTTTTCTTCTCCATTTCCAATAGCACAGTCGTGGATTCGACCCCGTGCTGAGAGGTTTCTTGTGGTTTTGGCGTGCATAGCGTTATGCGTCGATGAATTGGGTGTATTTCTTCGCTTTCCGATGTCGTATACAACACAGCAAGGTTCTGCTCATCCTCCACACAATTAGGTTGCACGGTAGTTCTTGCATGTGATGAGATGTAATATCCTTCTTTCTTAGTCTCACCATGAATTGGAATCGGTATGTAGTGTATATCGGGATGATGGGGGTGAACTCCTAGTCTAACATAATACATTGCAGTCAGGATGTTACTTCAATCTGTACAGAAGATGATGCACGATTTCTTGTAAATGAGCTGTTCCATGCAAAATATTGCCCGGTTCTGTTAGGTTCAGTATATGTCTTCAAGTATCTGAGAATCTTCCCACATACAAAAGATCTCTAGTGTAATTGTGCTACTGTTATTTAAAGAACTATCTTTTTGCCACATCTGGAACAATGTAGAGGACAAACATAAATCGTATTATTACCATTTGAATGACTGATAAAGTCATGGCTTTTGCACGATTGTTCAAAACAAGTAAATAATAAAATTGCTTCAATTAACACTCAACAAGATTCATCTTAATTATGCTCAATTTCAAGTATAGCTAATCTACTTTTAACAGCATGTGAGTGCCAATATTCCTCGAGAATGGTGACGTCATTACGGCAAGTTGATACCTTGAATATCTCCTCAACAAAATAACATATATGGATTTTGACAGATACCCATTTGATGAATTCATCAACAATTGTATGAATTCAATTTTGCGTGGTGACGAAGTGAGCCTGAATCTTGGGATTATCATGGTTTCGGCTTTGAATTCCACTTGCCACGGTCTCTGTTTTGGAGACGTTGGCTTGAAAAACCGTCAAGCAAGGGTTCTGTTTATATCAAGAGTGACCATGAGCCTCAGTCACCAAGAAAAATTTGTATCAACTTCTTCATTATAACAGTCTTACTTGTTTAAGGAACTTTCTTTCTCTCTTATTCACTCATCTTATTCTTCATCTTTTCAGTAGTGAAAGACTCCACATCAAGTTATACTGTCAGAGCAGCGATTATTTGAATACAGTAGAATTAAAATGAGTCCCATAGGTACCCATCGATTGATGTATGCTGTAGAGTGAAGCATCCTCCAGCGGATGGATCGCAACCCTTCATCTCATCTCATCCACTTATACTGGGTGTTTCTCGTTGACGACAACTATCTGACAATTGCTGGCTACAATTGCCAAATAAGATGAATGAATTATATCCCTTCACGAATTCATTCATAAAAAAGCAGTTTTAGGGTTTAAGCTGGAGGGATTAGGCAATCTTCACAAGGCACTCTCCCCTTCTCCTTCATCTTCTTCGTCGTCACCTTCTCGTCAACTACACAATTTTCTTGCTGGTAGAATTTACACACATGCTCGACAGATCATGAGTTCAAGCCCCTGAGCTGGATTGCAAGAATTGTCCTAGGAAATTGAACATATTCGAAGCTGATTTGGCCGAGGGAAGTGACTGCCAAAACTCAATAGCAGTAGACAGTTTTGCCGGGTTGATTGTTGTGTCTGTGAGGGGATTTTGTTTAATAGGAAACGCGTGTGGTCGTTTCAAATGGCGCTACATCATCCGTTGCTACTGTTACCTCGATGTCGCTGCGCCACTCCTGGGTCCGTAGATGCATCCCGAACCTTATCCCACTCACATGCGTCTAGCTCTGCGGTTTCTGCTGTTGTAGTTTCTGGGTTGGTACTGGGAGAACCGAAGTCGAGGTGTGTAGAGGGGACATGGAAACGTGGGAATACGCTGCGGGGTTTTGGGTTTGACGAGTTTGGAAAAGGGTTCACGAGCAGGAGGTTTATGAGAGAGGTGAGCTTGCGGGCAACGCTGGCCGAAGTCGGAGTCGTGAACACAAATGTGCAGTTGACTGACGAGAGCGCCGAACCTGGTGACGAAGCCGATGAAGGTTTGAAACCAATGCCAGGTTCGAATATAGTCCTTACTGCTGGTGCAGATGTTGGCCGGCTTGCGCTGGTAAAGTCAGCGGAATTTATTAAGAGTAGTAGCAAGGAATCAGAATGCCCAAGCGAAGGATATCCAGAATTTGCATTGGTGGGGCGTTCGAATGTTGGCAAATCGTCTCTTATTAATTCGCTGGTTCTTCGCAAGGAGCTTGCACAAACATCCAAGAAACCTGGTAAGTAAATTCTTTGTCCATGCCTTGTATTACAATATAATGTGGTCCGTGTACACTCTACCATCAATGAGAATTGATTTTATTTTGATTTTTACATAGTTTTTTCATTCTCGGATTTTCTTGAGATAGTTAAGATAAAACCAGTCACCATTGCATCACAGAAGGGTGCTTATTTCACTGTACACTAAGGTAGCCACATCACCGGAATTACTTCATTTTCTCGCTTCTGATGCCTCAATACTATGGAAGTTTTCTCATCTCGGATTAATTCATGGTCATTGTGGTGAAGCTTATTACAACTATTTCCCTCCCGATCATAATTTGGAGATACGTTTGTTAAACCCCGGATGTCGTTGTCCCCATATTTTTAAACGTGTATCCGCTAGTTGCAAGGCGTTTGGGTACATGCTACTGAATCTCACTTTCATTAACATTTCGATTATTCTTAAGCAAACTTTTTAAACATTTTGCAGGTAAAACGCAGCTCATAAACCACTTTCTTATTAACAAGAAGTGGTACCTGGTTGATCTTCCTGGTTACGGGTAAAGGTTCATCACTCTCTAATTTACTAGGCAAAATGATTGGATCACATAACTGCACCTAATACAACTCAGCACGTTGAGCCTAGTTGTAGTTCGTTATCCTTTTCTGTCTACATGTTTGAAGTGGTGATTTATTCTGGAAATCGGAGCCTGATAAGTTTGATTGTGATTGTGCCAGATTTGCCAAGGCTCCAACTGCCGTTCGTACTGATTGGAATGAGTTCACAAAGGATTATTTTTTGCAACGAGAAACGCTTGCTTGCGTTCTGCTTCTTGTTGATGCTAGCATTGAACCTCAACAAATCGATCTAGACTGCGTTGACTGGCTTGGTCGTAACAAGGTACTGAATGACGTTACGTGTACTCACTGTATGGTGATTTGTGATTGAAACTGCCCTTCAATGGCTGAAGTCGTTAGCTAGTTGGATTTAATTCCAGGGATGATATTGATTGTTTTTCGTATTCAACTAAGGTCCAAATACGGAAGTTTTGCATCTGAATCTGAATCTGTGATTGGCATCTCTTGTTTCACAGATACCAGTTACTATCGTGTTTACAAAATGCGACAGGAAGAAAAAAAAGAAGAATGGGGGGCGGAAACCACAAGAAAACATCGAAGATTTCTTAGACAGGCTGAAACCGTTGTACGATGAAATCCCTCCATGGGTCATGACAAGTTCTGCAACTAACCAAGGTAGGGAAGAGTTACTACGCCACATAGCCCAGTTGCGGATTTTCTGGGCTAGATGAGTGTCGAATCCTTTGTGCTCTCACAACCACACCAGGATTATCAATTTAGATCTTAGATAGAGGATGAGGAGGCGATTATACGGATAAATAGTGTCTGAAGATTTTAAGAACTACGAATTATTTGCCATAAAATTTCCCTTTGATTTTAGAGTAGAGCAAACTCCTGTGCCTGATTGGGATCTCATTGAAAGCTTATCATGGATCAGCCAACTTGATTTTCTGAATGATTAGTCCTTGGGCTTAGGTTTTGAAAAGTTGAAATGGACTTGAATGCAGGATAGATCTGTTCAAATAGAAAATCTTATTGAACCATTCCTTTCAGTTAAGCTTCTTGCTGCTTTGACTCCAGTGTTTTAGTTCAACATAATTAAAGTATGTATTATATGGAATTCAAAGCTCGCCTGATGACAGTTGCACATACTAGTTTTAAACCCTAAAACCACCATTTTTGTGTCAGCAGATTGTGCCAGCCAATGCAGTATTGATTTCTTGGGGCTTGAACAACTCTTACTATACTTACTTTGGATACAAGAGAGCTATGTTGTGAATACATTAACCTAAAGAGAATCGTTAAGAGAATCGTAACAATGAACATAATTCTTTAATTCGAAACAATTCTTTCAATTTAGAAGCCACTGGTTTTCTAAAACACAACGGCCTTCTCACTTGTTGTAACATCAAGTTGATGCTGCTCGACTTGATGCTGCTTAGATTAATCTCGTAGCCTCCATCGCCCATGGATTACATTTATTTGTGCGGGAGTTTTGATAGTGTTAATATTTTGTTTTGGATCTGTTTCCAAGAGGTGAATATCTTTGAAAGAAATTCAAAGTATGCCTTATCAATCCATTCTAGGGAAGGAAGGCAAGAGAAACCAGCAGGATGGTTGCCACTTGAGGGATACTATGTCTACACCACATGTAGAGATCAAAGCAATCTTTCATTCAGGCACGAACAACACGTAGTTTTTCCCAACAAAGTTTTCATAATGAAGACCATTCTTTAAGGCGAAGTTGGGTTCTTTGCATGTTCTCAACGTCCTACTTGTCACGGATGTTCATTTCAAAGTGAACCAGCTGCAGAACATACTAGAGAGTGTGCAGATGATTTTGCATGGGTGAAGACAATAAACGGGTAAGTACCTTAGCAGATTGGGATGCAGATTGCAAACTGCAAACAACTAAGATTGTAGCAAAGGAGGGATTCTCTCCTTATGGGATTGAGGAATGATAATTCACAGCATGGCTGCATCAGGAGCGATTGATCTGCATGTTCCTGTACCCATTCCATACGCTTTGGACGATCTAGTACACAGGGATCTGAGCAACGGAGATGAATCAATTTGTGCCTGTACTCGTCCTTGGCAGACTCAGGCGGACACAATTCCAGATTGCAGAGCACACAGCTTGAAAGCGAAGTTGCAAACTGCGGAGAAATTTACCATCAAAGTGCAGGATCAATTCACATCCTCGGAGATACTACACATTCTTGAGCTTGCGAATCAAGGATAGGGGCGTAAATTACAGCAACATGCTTCCGAAGATTCTCATTCTGTGTAATGCAGAGCCGAGGCGAGGGCATCATTTCACGCATTTGGAGTCCCTGCGGTTTCAGTGTCTAGATGAACTGATTTTTTGCCCAACATCAACTAATATCCACATTGCAGGGTGTGGGCAACGGAACAAACGGGGAGGATTCTTCAAATAAAAATGTGGCTTATTGTAATATACTTACAAGACAAAGTACAACATATCGATTTACACCCCAGTTTGCAGCGTCGTAGGAACGTTAATTTTTTTGGCTAGATTGCAAACTGCAAACATTGCATTGCTTCTGCAAAGAGCTCAAGAAAACGAGAGTTATGGCGACCAGGGGTCGAGACTCAAACACCTAACGTATCGCATTGTGTTCCACAGTGAGATGAATGCAAACCCTTCGGAGGCCCAGCAGCTCGTTTGACCAAGAATCTGAAGCAAGGGTTTTTACAAAATTTTATGTTCCAAAAAGTGCGGAAGAAGGCCGGTCGATTTCTTCGCTACAGCACTTAAAAGATAGATTGTGATAGATTATGAGGTTGAGGGGTAGTTTTGATATCATGACAAAAGTGAGGGGTAGATTTGCTATTATCAAGAATACAAGGATATTCTTGATATTTCAACATACTTCAAGGGTATGTATGATATTTTCCATTCTTTCTAAGCATTAGTTTTATGTGTGTGCATCGTCAAGAAGTTCTCATAACCTCATATTCTATATTCTTTCTTTAATACTTTTTAATTTATACATTGTATTATTTGATTGTACAATTTGGTCTATAATCATTTTAGATTTCAATATTGATATGTACAAGTTTGTACAATTGATCATATGTAAATTAAGTTGAATTTGTTGTGCAAATCAGCAATACACCATTTTTTGTATTGATATTATTATTTTTATGTGTTTGTTTTCTTATTAATAGTTATAATTATGCTATTCAATTAATAGGATCTTTAAGGATATCTAATGCTTTGTGCCTTGAATTGCAATTCAATAAATCAGATCACAAATATATATATATATATATATATATATATATATTTTCAAAAACATAACAAACATACAACTATTTAACTTGTAAGTAGTTAGCCAAAGCCAATAAGGTTGCCAATCTAAAAGTATGTAATTTTTTTATATCAATAACTAATAATATTATAAAACTTTGAAAGTTGCACCTCCAAACCACAAAATCATTAAATTGATCCAACTCATTAATTCAGCGTGTTTCTTGCTATATTTTATCTTATCAAGTTAACAAGAAATATATATATATATATTTTCGTTAACTTATCATTGTCATAATTTCCATATTTTATCTTAACATAAGAATCAAATTCGAAACATTATTAATTGAGCTAACAAAGTAAAAAAAATAAACTAATAAATAAATAAATAGTGAAAAAGAAAGCATACACAACTTCTGACATGTATTAGTAAAATTTTGTCATTTTCCCCTATTTTGCATCACATGTAGTGCCATATTTAAATTGTCATGTCTCAAGCTAAATATATGTTTTGATAATATCAAACCAAAACAACCTTGCATCAAAACCACTCATGATTATTGAAAGAGAGTGCACCTTCCTTTTTATTTTATTACAATCAATTGACATACTACACTATAGAACATGTAGTAAGTATGAAACAAAAAATACAAATAACATAAATTAACATGGATATTCTTCATCACCATTTTAAGCAACATTTATTTTTGTGTGAAAAGATAACAAAAAAGAAAGAAGATAATACCCGTAATTAGATTGAGCCAAAAATGCATTAATGAACAGCCTCGACTGTAAACCATTTTAAGGAATTTCAACACAAGTTGCACTTTTCGGAGCGTTATGGCCCCTCACCCGAACCGCACGTTTCTCACCGCGATCATGAATCGAGACCGGTCAGGCACAATCACTTGAATCTCAGACCTCACAGGAATGGTCTGGAGTTCGGAACCCGTAGGTCGCGAACGAAGGACTTCGGTGCAGGGAGTCACGGGCTAGAGCATTGTGCATGCAGCATGCCACCAGGTGTCTATTGCTGCAAAGATGAATGAGCTTCATGCTCATTCGACCCCTGTAAGTAACAATTTGCAGTGTCTTTATTGCGCTTCCTTTCGAGGAAGCGCAGAGGGATTTGCACTTACGGGATGGAGGGCAAAGACCGAAATGAAAACCAAATAAAAAGACGATGATGGAACAGAAACAGATACAGCAAGCTAGTTTTAAGTGGGCTCTTGTATGCATTCTTGGAGTCGTGTGACGGTATCACTTCCACATGATTCCTGCAGCTGTTATTCTTTCTGAAAATGTTTGCAGGCACGGGTTGAATCTTAATTTTCCCATGCTTGACGGTTTCACTAATCCTGGAAATGAACAGAGTAGTATTAGCTGCTATGTTGCAAGTGTAAGTTGTGTTAGCTTGATCACAAGTGAAAGTTGTTTGAGAGCAACGGACAATGTCGTGAAGGAGACTTCTGGCGGTTGACTGATGATTTCTATTTTTAACCTATTCTTGGAAGCTCTGCATATTACTATAACTGGCATTGAAGCTGCACAGGGTAGAATTACAACGTATGTTGTGGACTGAACTAAGGTGGAAAGACATAGCCAACTCTCCCCTTTGGTCCTTGTAACGGTGTCGCACAGAAGTATGCAAGCAACAGAGGGAAGTCGAATTCTCAAATGGTAATTCGTCCCTCAGCAATGGAGCGGCGTAGTGCTTGATTGAACCACACTTCGTCGACGACTTCATTGGAGGACGAGCGCAAGGTTCGCCGCTTGGACAGCCCTGCAATCCCTGGGGTTTGCGGTGGTGCGATTCGGGGTGCGGACTTAGTTCCACCGTGCATTAACCTCATGCACGCCTCCTTCAAGCTAGTGAGGAGCTGCCCGTGCAGGAGGAACCGGAGGCGGAAGCAACGCAGGTTGTGCCTGTGTGCTTGTCGTCTTGGACCCGCAACTTCCTTCTCCAGGTTCGCTACCTTCACCCTCTTCCGCTTCACCACGAAGCCACTGCCTCCCTCAATGCGGCTGTACTTCCTCCGCATCCACGCTCTGGAAAATGATCCACAGAGCTCCATCCCGACCAACCCTCCACTAATACACTAAACGGGACTTCAAGCAATACACTCACCCCTCAACTTCAATTCACTCCACTTCACACCAGTATTGATATATTGCATGTCACGAAAGGCAATCGGAAGCCTTCGTAAACATCAGCGCACGAGGACGAAGACGTTCATGTGCATTGTGATCGCAGAGGAGGAGGAGGAGGCTTGCCACACAGCAGCCGGACGAGGCGAAAGAGTTATCGTCAGTCCAGAGCTCTTAGCTGTTAAGTGAAACCAACTCTCGCCTCTACTCTCGAGACCCTGGAACAGCCGTGCAGGTCGTGGCTGGTCTACAGATTCCACCCGAATTCTGGCCTCCCTCTCCCCTTCACGTTGACAAATGCGTCCAGAATTGGCCATGTCCATTTGCTAATCCAACCCCATTGGATGGAATTGGTCACTTTGCATAGAAGAAGGTTATTTGGAATTGTCGCACTCTGACCTTGTGGGGAAATGAAGCGAAGGGTGTTGTTTGTGGGTTTGCAATAGGGACCGCTAACTCATGAAATATCCGACCATTCAAGGCTACAACGCCTTAAACAATATCCGTAATTGTTAACAAAGAAATATGGGTTTTCACAACTCTGGAATACTGATTCTTCACGTTTCTTTACTTATGGAAATAGCAGTGATGTTATTACTGGCAGTGTAATCTAGCTGTAATAAATTTGTAGCGGAGAAGAAAAGAATACTTTAGTATGCTATTAAGAGCGTGTGTGGTATGTTATTGTGCAGGTAGTGATTTTGAACAGGAAGTTTCACTGCCCTTCTTCGAATCCTTTCCCTTCCCTTTCCTTCTTTCTCCTTTTGCAGTGGCAGGCGCGCCGACCCACCACTCGGTGGCGGCGCAGGTCGCCACCGCAACGTGAATGCTCAGCTCTCTTTTATGCCTTCACTGCGCTGTGGCAGGAGGACCCATCAAAGCAGCCATCGCAATCCCATCTTCGAAACTTCCCTTTGGTGCTCAGTTCGAGTGCAACGGCGAGCGACTGACTGACTGGCTGCGAGAGGGCGCGAGCGAGAGAGAGAAGGCGAGAGACTGAGAGCGGCTATGACCGTGACCCTCAAGGACCAAGACTCGTGCCTGGAAGTGCCGCCGGGATGGACTTTCCGCACTGACCCCAGTTGGCAAGATCTTCGAAACAACAGCAACAACATTAACAACACACCCTTCTGCCTCGTCTCGGGCATGGCACCGGCTGACCGGTGAGGTCAGCAGTTGGACATCAAGAAGCTCTGGAATGAACTTGGAATTGCAGGATGGTGGCAAGTGGTGGCGAGTAAGAGGGGGAGGGCAGATTCTCGACGTCACGGTTGCTTCGAATGAGAACACTTGGGATCTTCGTTGACCCTGGAGAGAAATGAACAGGCAACATCCTGCTGACGCTTCTGAGTTTCTTGGACTTTTTCTGTGGCGAGAATTTGTTTTTGTTTACGCATGTTTCTGCGAAGTATTGTTCTTCTTTTCTGCTTTTCAGGGACTTCAATATTAGCAAATTGAGACTTCACAGGCACTTGGATATGGGTAACCTTCATTCGACATTGCAGAAGGAGAGGTAAAACAAAGGACACAAGACATAATGGGAATAATAAAAGTCTATCTGCTTTTGAGAATAGAGCGTACACGAATTGTTCACCACAAAGCACTAAAACAATTCATGCGTTTGTAGTCGGACTCTGTACTTTTTAAAAGTTGCAAAAATCTTCTTCGAAGCTTTGAAGGTGTTGAATGAATAACTGTTTGAGCTGGTTGAAAATGGAAAGGAACAGGCAAAATTAAGAAGAGCCATAATTGATCGGACATTTCGATTTTGGCTTAGAACAAACATTGGAATGATTTACGAGTCCATTAAAACCGATAAATACGAAAGCGATTGCAACTCAACTTTGAAAATGAATTACATTGGATTCTGGTAAAAATTACAATAAATTCAATCCACTCAGAAACAGAGCTGTCAAGTATCCAGTTACAAATTCTAAGCATATTCCAGGTTGACCCAGTTGACAGGAGTCACTGTAGCGGCACAAGAGGACATGGAACGCAATAAACCATCCACGAAACAATTGGTTTCGATCTGATGTATTGGCTTTGACTCGTACTGTTGAGAGATTTACAGGGTATTGGAGATGAAGGTGATCTGCTGTGTGACAGTGGATGTGTCGACGAAGTGGAGCAGAGGTGTTGTTGGCAGCTTCGGCGATCGCATCACCACCGGTGATCGTGACTTCAAGGAGCTTTACTTTGGCGCCAACATCAGGCGAGTAACAATGGAGGCAGTAAAAGCCCTTCGTGCGACCAATCGAAGGTCCCGTGTCGTGGAAGTAATGGCCGTGATTCGTTGAAGAGACGGCCCTACAGCGTTGAAAGCAGCAGGTTAACAAGGACAGCTTCAAAACTGGGAATCATCTTGTCCTCTTCGCTGATGGTTCCAAAACGAATAATTGCCTCGAGCTGCTTTTTTTAGGACCGAAAGCAGAGCTCGTACTTCCATCAAATAATTAGTAATGAAACTGAAAAATAAAACAGAGAAATGTAAATATATATATATACACACACACACACATACTTCCTCATGATTACTTCATATTGGGTTACTTCCTGAATTCGTTTACCATCAAGACCATTGCGGAGTATCCATTTTGTCAATTTGATTGAAACAAAAAAGAAGATCGTGAGGAAGCTTTTCCAATGGTAGAAAGAAAATTAAGAAAAAAAGAAATAGGAAAATAATATGGAGGTGTTAGGGGGCTCGGATCCAAGCACGAAGGTTCACTTTCTGTATTTTTTTTCAACACGTATCACACCTTCGGTTCGAGAAGGAAGAGCACCGAGTCAAAGCAAGAACCAGTTATTGCAAAAGAGCGGCCTGGTGCAAACAGAACCGGATAGCATTGGGTCGTGGCTTTCCAAAGTGCGGCGTTGAAAGTCAAACATTGTTGTTCTCCCCAGAGAGTGGAGTTTGCAAACCGTACTGCGTTGAAAGAAATGTGGAATTCCTGTTGAAAATGCGAACCATGTTTGGTGCTCTTTTCGACAGGCATGGAATCTATCACAATCTTGTCCTTTCCAAAGAGGAGCTTCTATTCACTATCCCTCGGTGTAAGTGTTGGGTCGCCACTATTGGACTGCAGAAATCGTACACCCTCTTTGCGATATTGAATTTGTTGCCCTAACTGCTCCAGTGGCTGTTTTAAATAATCCAGACTCTCTCATCATTAGGTGAGGGAGTGATGATTGGTGAAATTCAGGAAGCAAACAGCACCTTCATTCGATTCACTATTACTGGTGATTATTGGTGAAATTCTACACTCCAATAATGAAATCTCAACTGCTATGATCGCGTTCACTAAACATTTCCTCACGTTTGTGATTATGAAAGCAAGCTATACCATGCATGCAAGAGTCTGGAATTCTCTGGTGTGTGATACAAACCTCAAGGCTTCGAAATGCGTGCACACGTGACTGCAGAAACTGAAGTGTTGAATCGCTTGCCGATTTGGTGAAATTTAGTTCAATTTGAACGTGTAGATACATGTGTGGAGATAAGCGTTTTTAAAAAAATGAGTCTTTGTGCACTACAATACGCTACTATGTTAACTACTCCACGATACCTTTTTTTTTCTGAAGTACTACCAATTTCTTACTTTATGATTGATGATTTTTCACCAGCTGATTTATGATTGCTATCATCTGTCCGCGGGCGAATTGGTGCAGCCCAAGCTGAAGCTCTTTGGCACTCACACTCGTCCTCAGCACCATCCTCCTCACAGCCTCTTAATTGCTGTTTCGAAAATCTGCTGGTTGACGATTGACGTCCAGCTTCTAATCAGGCATGGGGTGCAGACGAACTCTCGATGACGTTTGATTGGAGTCCTAAATGTTCCTTGATCGAGGACTTGCTCCGAATGAACCTTGGGCAAAAAATTTAGTCACCCTTGAATGATTTTCCTAGAACTCCTGGCTTTAAGTCCTGGTTCACTGGGCCAGATTACTAGGAAACTTGCTGAGGGGAAGAGCTGATGACGTTCAATCGCCCCTCCGCAATGGTGCGGCGCAGTGCCGCATTCAACCAGGCCTCGTCCACAACATCATTCGACGAAGAAAGGACCGTGAATTTCTTGGGATTATAGATCGCCGGAACATCGGCCCTTGTCTCGTCAACAACGCCCTTCCCTTTCTCTACTCTCGATGTCATAGGAAGCCCCTCTGACTCACTGTAACTCCTCCCCACCCTCTCGTATCTCCTCCTCATCAGAGCCCGCGCGAGCTTGTGATGAATCTCCATCGTCGGGATAATGCAACTTTCTCTGAAACCCACCTGCTCTCTCACTCTTTACTCTCTTTGTGAACTTGTCGGAGGTGAAACTCACCCGCTCTTACACTCTTTCCTTTCCTTGTGAACTTGTCGGAGATGAAACCCACCTGGTGTCTCGCTCTTTCCTATCTCTGTGAACTTGTTGGAGGTGAAACCCACATGCTCTCTCGCTCTCTTTTCTGTGTGTGAACTTGTCGGAGGTGAATGAATTACTGAGGCTCTCAGACTGGAACTGCGACGCGGCGGTCACGATGAAGAGTTGGCAAAAGAGATTGTGAAGAGAAGCGAGGGGGAAGGGAAGATTATATGTGAAGCAGCAGGAGAAGGGCTGCGTGGGTGGTAGTGGTGGGCTTTGCTTTTCCATTAGACGGAATGGCGATGGAATTGTGCAGGTCGCCATGAAATGGCGGACGCGGCACCGCTAGGACGGCTGGGGCTGAGGGTGAGGGCGCGTGTGACGCGGGTCCACAGCACTTGTGGTAAGGAACCCGGCCGGTCCTCTCGTCAACCTCGTGTTTTCATCCCTCACGCGCATCGGTATATACTACCAGGATCTGAATGAATGAATGGATGAATGAATTATTTATTTGATATATGTATGAATATATATATATATATATATATATACTTGTTTGGTGGATGGAAACATTAATCTAAAACAAAAAAAAATTGTGTATTTGGTTTTTGATTTTTTGTACATTTTCTTTGTATATTAGTTTTTTTTTTTTTTTTTTAATTTTTTAATTTTTTTAGATCTATTAAAAATATTTTTCACTCTTTTTGATTTCTTAAAGAATAATTTTGGTATTTCTTAAGGAATAATTTCAATTCTTTCTAATAATTTTTTGTGGAAAATTAAAAAAGAAAACTTATCACAAAATGTCTTCTAAAATCTTTGTTGGTAATTTTTATAGCTCTTGGAAAAAAAAACTCTTAGCATTGATTTCTTTGCACTTTATACAATATGTCATTAGAATCTTAGACAATAGATTTTAGTATTACAAGTACTAATGAAATGTACAAGAGTAATATTATTCTTAGACTTGTCAATTCTTTTCTTGCATTTTATATAATTGGTAGCTTTTAAGTTTTCAAATTTTAATATAATAATTCAATTATAATATCACTTCACAGTCTCTTTTACACAATCCACCTATTTATATTATAAGTATCGAAGTAATATATTTAATAGTTAAATAATAATAACTACAACAAATTAATATCATTCAACATAATATAAATATTTTTTGAAAATAAAATTAGTGCTGTAATGATTGAAAGTTATCCACATCCAAATTTCTAACATATTATTATTTTCAAATAGTACATCTATTTTAAATTAATAAATTAAAAGGTGTTATGTTATAAATTAAAATAGAGAATTTGGTACATCCTATGATAGTTTAAATCCAAGCCTCAACCAAAAATTGTATTTATTATTTATTCCTCAAAGTATTATATTTTCACTAATAATCTGCATGTTTTATTCATATATTATTATCTTTTAGAATCAAAAAAATGTATTTAATAATTGTAGCAACCAGTGATGCTTGTAATTGGTAATGTATGTGTATGCATATATATATATATATATATATATATACATATACAGCGTAATTTTAATAACCAACAATTTGATATCAAATTAAAAAGATTTAAGCTTTTAAGAAAATATAGTTAGGTCATTGTTTCCTAAATTTGGCAAGGCATTATGTCATCGGCACTCCAAGATCAGAGCAGCATAATTCATAACCAATCTAATTGCACTAGTCAGTGTCATTACAAAGATTTTGGTTGACCTATGCAGTTGTGGGCCATGTACAAGTTTTACCACTGATAACAAGATTATAAATCAGATTTGATAATCATAAAATAAAAGGTGATATATTCAACATATATATATTTTTTTGAATGAAAATAAACTATACTATTGTATTTTTGTATTCAGAAGTTTATTGTTAAATTTGTTACAATTTTTAAAATTTAAAATTGCATTGAATTTTTTATATTAAATAATCATCAAATTTAAAAAATAACATTAATAATCATACTTATATATAGATATAAACTTTGAATACATTTAAGTGAATTTATGATATTTCCAAATATTTTGTTTATTATATTGAATTTAATCATAGATAATTTGTTAAATCATAAATATTTTAAGTTTTTCATAATTAATAATTTTTAATATATAAATAAATAAGTTTTTTCTTATAATTTTTTATAATTTGGAAAACTTGTATTCTTATGCTATTAACACTTAGGATGATATTATACTTGAATAATGTATTATAAATCCATATCTATATCTATATATATATATACCTATGTATGTTTATGTCTATATGATTGTTTAAGCAAACACAATTTGATGAGGTAAATGATTAATGCACTACATTATATATTTTTTTAATTAAAAAATATTTTGGTGGCATTAAATTGCTTGATGTAAATTCTTAATATTTTGGTGGCATTAAATTGCTTGGTGGCATTAAATTGCTTAAAAAATATTTTGGTGGCATTAAATTTCTTAATTACAACAATATACTTGTATATTTTTTATATTTTTTATTTTATAATTTAAAAATTTATATATTTTAATTTATACAATTAATATATATTATATAAAATAAATATTGATATAGTTTCATAATCAATAAAATAATACAAAAAAATCTCTGAAATTTTTATTTTTGATTTATAAAGAGATAATAAATATTTTACTTAATTTATTTCAAATATCATTATAATAAATCAAGTCTAAATTATATATATATATATATATATATATATATATATATATATTTGATTATCAAAAATTATAAAATTTTGTTATGAATCTTAAACTATCTAATTACAAATATACATATACAACTCTACTTTGATTATTTTAAAAAAAATATTCAAATTTTATTTTAAATAATAATAATGATACAATCCATCTAATTTGTCATCAATTTGTAATCCTTGAAGACAAAATTCTTAGAAATTTCTTCTTTCTTTTTTACTCTTTAACCATGGAAGAACATAAATTTTTCTAATCTAGCTAATTAGAAAATAATATGCAACATGCATAGCATCTTAGTAGAAAAAGAAGGATTTTGTAAATGGCATGCAGTTATTAGATAATTAGATTAAGCAACATAATGTTGCAATTGAAATACAACATATATAAGCCCTCAAAGTGGACCATGAGTTGATTACGATACATTTCAAATTTCATACCAAGGTTGACACTATATCTTTGATATACACACATTGCAATAAAGCATACATTATACAAAT